TGTGTGCGCCCCGAGCAAGAGAAAGAAAATTACAAAAAAATGGAAACAAGTGAAATTAAAATTCAAAACTAAAATTAAAAAATTTTAATAACTGCAGAGAATAGAAGAAAAATATTAAAAAGCTGATTGCTGAATTGGGCACAGAATCAAAAAGTGAAACCTGAAAATAATTTAAAATTTTAGAAAAATTAAATAAAATTAAGAAAAGAATATTAAAATGTCTTTATATTAGCAAAAAATTATTTAAAAAAAAATTTAGTTCAGAAAAATTTAAATTTTTAATTAGAAATATTTCTTAATTTAATTTTTGAAAAATTAAATAAAATTAAGAAAATAATATTAAAATTTCTTTATATTACCAAAAAAAATGTAGTTCAGAGAAATGTAGATTTTTAATTGGAAACATTTCTTAATTTAATTTTTGAAAAATTGAAGAAAATTAAGAAAAGAATACTAAAATTTCTTTACATTATCAAAAAAAAATTTAGTTCAGAAGACTGTAAATTTTTAATTGGGAACATAACGGGCTCGCACATTTCACAGCGCCGTCACGCCGCTAGAACTAATAAATGCTGAGTTGGTGTAGTGTGCCTTCGTTGAAACATTTTCCATAAAATAAGCCAAATTCAATTCAAACTCAAGTAAACCCATAAAATTCGCCTTAAAAAATCCCATATTTCGTAGATTTGTTGTTGTTGTTCAATCATATACTTGAAAAAGTAAGCATTGTTGCCAGTTCACATACTCGTTCGTAACTCTCTGTAGGCTATGTACTCCAATTAAAGCTAGTCACCACAACTGACACCATTTCATGCATTTTTATTGATTTAAAAAAAGTTTACCTAAAAACATGCTAAATGAACAAAACATTTGTGTAAAACTCTTCAACTCTCTTACTGTAACTATTTCTCTTCTCTCTGTACAAAATTTTCATTACTTTCATAAAAATTTTAATACTCGAATTTTTATTGTAAATATGAACAACAAATATTTGTGAAATACAACACTGCGTCACCAATTTAAAATAAAATAGTTGGACAATTCGTCGTTATGTGTGAGTTTTTCTAAGCTTTAAAAAACACATAACAAAACAAAAATCTGTGGTTTACGCTTTCTTTTGGCGTTGGTGTTAGTTTTGGTGGTAAAAGTGTAAATCTTGAATATCTGTGTGCTTTTCATAAGACTTTGCGAAACTTGTTCATATCATTTTAAGCAATACCATGTAAAACAGTAAAAAAAAATAGGGCAGCAATTAAACAAAGTGTGGAAAAAACTCAGCTTTCACAGTCAAAGCTTGATACTAAGAAAAAAAGGACTGCTTTTAGGCTGCTTTGTTGAACAAAGAATGTTGCAACAAAAAAATAGTCAGCACGCGCCGAGCTTCTAAAGCTTTCTATACATTTTATATCAGTCACGATCAAAACGTATCCCGCAGGTGCAGCTTTTCAAAGCTCTCTGCAGCTTTTATTTGGGCACGCATAGAATAAAAGCTCTTTCTAATCATACTTTTTTTTATATAGAACAATCATAAATGAAGCATAAACCACATGTGAAAGGTTTAAGAGCTTTAAACAATTTCCGTAGAATCAATTTTATATAATAGTAATGAATTATGTAGATCAGAGATGGGCAGAGAGAGCTTTTACTCTGGACGCGCCTATGCTAAATGTATAGAAAGTTTAAAAGAGCTTTGCCCGCGGGCAAGGCGGTGCCCATCACCGATGTAGATACATATCATAAAGCTACAGTTAAAAGCTATCTCTGATGATTACAAACAAAAACATATACATCAGTAGAAGTTTTATAAAGATTTATTATGAAGGTGCTCAAAGTAAAAGCTCTCTCTGATCGGCACTGATATCGAAAAAAAAACAACGCGCAACCTCACAAAGTCTATAGAACGCTTTTAAAGGTCTCTCCTATGCGGTGATGGGCACCGCATTGTCCGCGGGCAAAGCTCTTTTAAGCTTTCTATACGTTTTGTATAGTCGCATGCTGAGTAAAAGCTCTCTCTACCCATCGCTGCCCCTATGTGACGTGTGTAAGTCATGACTGATAGAAAATATACAGGAAAATATGCTCTTTTTGGTGAACACCGGGGAAAATAGTTCTGAACTTTCTTTCTTGAGAGCTCTATTGGTTTTCCATCTCTCCAAAAGAGAGTACATTGGTGATTTCAATCCAAATATGTATTTAGCATAAACCCCAAATAGTTTAGCAACTCATTTGAAGTCAGCAATCTCAACGAACAATGAACACTAAAGATCAGATGAAACATAACCTTCGCCATTAGTAGTGTACGAAATAAGCTTTAGGAAAATTTCCAAATTCTACTTGAACATAGTGACTCTGCCGGGTGTGATAAAAAGTAATAAAACTTAATGCTTTTGTCTGAGCTACATACAAGTTTTGATTGTTTTTATCGCGAAAGCGGTTAATCTCTTAACTGCTTTCCGGTGTGGCTCACGCAAAAGCATAAAACTAATAAAAATAATTCTGCTCTGCCTCTTAACAATAACAAAGACATTCTTTTCTTCTATCTAATTTCCTCCAACTCCAATTTCATACCCAAGACACAACAACAATTTTGGGCATTTATTACTGTTCTAGCTTGCGTTCGTAATTCGCATACTAATTTCACATTTATTGCTCCTACTTAACCCAGTTGACTCCTTGGCACAACGTGCATTTATTTCTTTTGCACCTCCTCTCCCCTCCTAATTTGATTTGCCTCATTTCCATGTTGCTCTGCATTCCTTTCACTCTCAAACTCTTTCGTTAATTCATTTCGTTTTTTTCATTCATTTGTTATTCCGCTCAGTGTTAAGTATCCGAAAAGTATGCTACATAAAATGAAATATAGGGCTTGTTCGAGTTGCAATCACAACCGCAGTGTTGCGCGAATTATTAAAGTATCACGTTCTGTGTGAATTTCTAGCAATGTGTTATCAGTTGGGCAGTTGCAACAATGTTGCCATTTTTCATCAGTACGGCAGTAATGCCGCTTTTATTACGTGCCTCGAACAGGCCCATAATTGAAATGAAAATTTTACAAGCGCCATAAAATATTCCACTTAACCCAGTGAGCTAGCGCACGCACAACGACACAAAAAAAGTACACAAACTTAATTTTCTTCTTCTTTTTCTTTCATCTGCGCTCTACCGCTCTCTCACTACACCTATGCGTTGCGGCACTATAGCGCTGCTGTATGCGACGATATTCGGTCACGTGACGACCATCATCCAGCAGATGACCTCAGCGACGGCAAAGTACCACGACATGTTGAACAATGTGCGCGAGTTCATGAAGCTGCACGAGGTGCCAAAGGCGTTAAGCGAACGCGTTATGGATTATGTGGTCTCCACCTGGGCCATGACAAAGGGACTGGACACCGAAAAGGTAACGCAAGCAAACACGCATGCACGCACACTCAGTCATTCACTTGTGGAGAAAAAAAAGTCATTCATATGGCGTGGCATATAAGTACAATGTAACTGTTCATATGCATAAGTATGCCGATTAAATATGCTGAGTATGTACGTACGTATGTATGTATGCAAAGCAAGCAGAGAAGAAAGCTTTTGTAAAGTATGTTAATTGTATGCGAATAATTTTGAGTATCGTATGTTAGTTGCGTATGTAGTTAGAATGACTTCAGCCTAAAAGTACGCTCGACATCAATTCAAATGCAGCACACATACACACAGGCACACAAGCAATTCAAGAAAAAAAAAAACCAAACCGAAAGTAATAAGAATATGATTAAAATTTATGAAAACTGGTTCACTCTTCCACTCTACAACTCTTTAAGTTCTAAGTTCAACTTAAGTCAGTTCAACACCTAAAGCGTCACTTTAGGCGTCACGCACCACCACGCGACCATAGCTGGCGCCTAGACCACCGCAAACGCAACCACAGCTAACTTATGTATGTTTATAGACACACATACATACACACACACACACGCTGAGCGGAGCACCCGCAACCAACTTTACGCTCACTGCCACACACAAATACCAACTGTGCGCGCTAAATAGGCAGCACACATGATGGCGCATAATTTTAGGCGCTCTTGGTCGCTAATAACAATAATAAATATTAAAATCGCCCTTCGCCTAGCTTGCGCTGCTTTTTATCAAAACACAATTTCATTTCCAGCAAAAAGAGTTCCAATTTGTATAACTTGCTTAAAAATATTCCCGCCGCGCGCCTGAAAGACCTCTGCAGTCAGCGCATTTGCTTTCCACAAGCGGCTTTCTCTTAGAGCTTTCTTTAACAAGCTTTTCCCATTCACATTTTTTATACTTTATCGAATGCTTTGTAAATGTTTGCTCATTTTTCGCTTAATCCTCTTAGCTCTTAGTTGAATTTTTTACAATTAAAATAAAATAAGTACTTCCAACCATTTTCAATTCGCATTTTATTTTTTTCTTCTCTTTTTATTTTTCTCTTTATCTACCCCCGTCTGCGTACAGGTAAGCTCGCTCGTTCGTCATGCTCGGTGTAGCGCCTCATAAAAACCACAAATCCGTGCGCCAAAACGAAAAGCGTCCGTCAAATCCGTGCCTTTAGATGGAATTTAAACCAAATCATGACAAATTCTAAAAGTTAAAAGCAAAAAAGTAGAAAAAATCATTAATTGGATTTTGTCAAAGCTTCTTGCGCATTTGGTTTAAATCATTGAAAGTAGCGCATTAATTAGCGCTCGGTAAAAAGCAGATAGAAGCGTCTTTATACCATTTTCGTTGACTGTAGTTTGTGCCTTAAAATAGTAGAGATCACAGTTACCAAAATACCAACAACACAGGACGCCAGATACACAACTGTATGTACAGCGGATAAGCCATTTGACTGAAGACAATTTCGGCTTGACTTACATTTTTGTGAACTCAAAACACTAAAGACTCATATCTAACACACACATAGAATTTGATTAGTGAAACACCGAACACAAAAACTTTAAAGTACAATAAACGCGCCAGAAACGAACACTTACTCTCACATAGCGAAGCAGCAAACTAAGTTGCCAGTTATCTCAGTCGGAAATAGAGTTGAAGGCGCGCTTACAAAGCAGCGTTTGTATAGAAAAGCTCTACAAAAGCTTTGAGCACAGCTTTTTGAGACTAGGAAGCTGATCCCGAATTCCTGTTAGAGGACTACATGACCCCAAAAGCTTGTGGATGAGTTACATTAAATCAAAAGCTCGAGGAAAGCTTTTGAAGTTTAGTATTCGAATTTTGTTTTCCAAACAAAGCTTTAAGCTTAGCATTTACAGTTTAGAAAGCTGATTCGTACCGGTTTTGAAGGGTGACTTTAGGATAATGATTCAAAACTTGTCAAGCTCCTGCTGTTCTCCTTCTTCTGGGCGTAATCCTTTTCAAAAGGACTACTAGAGACTCAAGATCCTCTCCAGAGGATACAGTTTGAGTTCAAGCTTACTACAAGTGAATGCTCTCTCACAGCTCGATAGGCCACTCTAATAACTTTCATTGCTTAGATCAACGAAAAACTACTAAAAATAAAGCTTTCTAAGCGCCCACAGTCAACTCCATTTCCTAGTGAGATTCAAAAATGTCTGTACGTATGTGTGAGTGTGCGTGTGTATTAAGCTACTTTCTATAACTTAAGTTACCTGCTATTTTTTCACAATTGATAAATAATTCTATTCCTGACTCACCGATTAGGGGGCTCACAAATTGCACTCTAGTCAGAAACAGGCTGTGATGTTGTGATCAAAAAGCCACGTAGTGCATTTTATTACAAATAAGCTTGCAAAAGTGCAGGCAATGCCCTTGTACGTAATTAAAGTTTGTTATTTGAAAAGCTCAAAAAGCTCAATAGCTCTACTAATATTATCTTTAAGGAACTTTAAAAGCTTCTTAAGAAACAGTGTGGTATTAAAAGTTTCGAAAAAGCTCAAGCTTTCATTTCATATATTAGTAAGTGAATTTCCAATCGAAACCTTCCCAAATAGCTTTCGCATTTTGTGATTTGTGAACCCCCTCAACTATCCAGACCTGTTCGCCATCTATCGAGTCCACTCATTTTTCCATACTTATATTCGATTGCAACTAAGAGCCTCTGCTCATGACACCTTTTACCAGCACTTCCATTCAACTCTGCACCCACTTACGCTTTCATTAATTTCTTCAGCAGTTCTTTCTGTATTTTTCTTTCATCTTCATACCATAATTTTGTTTGCTCTCCTTGGGTTTTCCATTTGCGTTCTCGCACTTTGTTTGACGTTTTGCCGTTCATGTTGCGGCTTGGCCACTTCGCAGGTACTAAACTATTGTCCGAAAGATATGAAGGCTGACATTTGTGTTCATCTAAATCGCAAAGTATTTAACGAGCATCCAGCATTTCGTCTTGCCTCGGATGGTTGTCTGCGCGCGCTCGCCATGCACTTCATGATGTCACATTCGGCGCCTGGCGATTTGCTGTACCACACCGGCGAGAGCATCGATAGCTTGTGTTTCATTGTGACTGGCAGTTTGGAGGTGATACAAGACGATGAGGTTGTGGCAATATTGGGTGAGTGTGCGCACACGAGCACTTTCGCTTCCCTGTAGATGTGAGGCTGCCTAAAGTTAGGTTAATTACTCTCACAATGTGCTAATTGAATGCCAAGTTAATGTGGCCTAACTTTAGATGTCCCAGCTAGCACTCCAAATCCAATTTGCACGTAATTACGCTTCCTTTGCAGCACGCTGATCCTTCAACCTTTGCTTTCTTTTTTGAAATGTACTTTTTTATTAATATTTAGTGGTTTTTATGTCTACCCTTCTCCACAGGTAAGGGCGACGTCTTCGGCGATCAATTCTGGAAGGATTCGGCCGTTGGCCAGAGCGCTGCCAATGTGCGCGCCCTAACCTATTGTGATTTGCATGCCATCAAGCGTGATAAATTGCTCGAAGTCCTCGATTTCTATTCGGCATTTGCGAATAGTTTTGCACGCAATCTGGTGCTCACCTACAATTTAAGACATCGACTGATTTTTCGCAAGGTGGCCGATGTGAAGCGCGAGAAAGAATTGGCCGAACGGCGTAAAAACGAACCTCAATTGCCTCAAAATCAAGATCATTTGGTGCGTAAGATATTCTCAAAGTTCCGTCGTACGCCGCAGGTGCAAACCGGCTCCAAGGAGGTGGTCTCGGGCCAAAGTGATGTAGAGAAGGGCGATGGTGATGTGGATCGCACCAAGGTAGGTGTGGATGAGGTTCACGTATACGTGAGTTGTGTTGGCAAGTGTATTTATGTATTGTATTTGCAAGTTTATGTGTGTAGCAAGGTGTGTGTGTGTGAAAATATTTGTAATTATTGCATGTGTGTGCTGGATAACTTTTTGGTTTTGGTTCTCTTTTTTTCGGCTGAAAATTAGCGCATATTTGTTTTGAATTTTTTTGTGTTGCAATATTTAGTTTTTTTAATTGCATTTAAACTGTGTATACTTATCGATGTGCTGGTGTGTATTTGTTGTTGAAAATGCTTAATGGCTTTGAGTCTTGAATACTAACACAAACTAAGTAATGTTTATTTGTTACTTGTGGGTTTCAAAATCTAAAATTGTAAGTATCTATGCAACATATGGATCACTGCTGTGACGAATGGTTACCGCAGTAATGCGCATCGAATATTCAAAGAATGTGAAGTATTTTTCCCTTTATTCTTTGCATATCCAATTTTTTTAATGTGATATTTTTTGGGAGTAAAGCGTTGGCTAGCAAAGTATGTGCCTAAAAGTATGCAACTTCCACTTTTCGTATAGTTTCATTCGAATAGAAGCCATACTCGTAATTGATAACCGGTTAAGGTAATAGTTTACCAGCAGCTGTTGAAATTCCTAAAGAGGGCAGTCGGAGAACGATCTCTTTTATGCCTGGTAGCTCTGTTTGAAAAGCTCAGCGTGATTTATACTCCCAAAATAATCAAACAAGATGATTAAATTACTCAAAACTGTTCCCTTCTTTTTCTTTTCCCCTTTAAAATTTCTAACTTTCAAATTTGTACTTTTAAATTTTAGAAAAATTCTCAATTTCTTTCGTCACCACTACTCTCTTGAGCACATATTTTACTTACTTCGATCGCATTCTCAAAGTACAGCAGTGATCTTATATAATAAATATTGCCTACTTTTAGGCACATTTTTTACATAAATATCTTCTAGTTACTAAGCCCAAAATTAAAAAAAGATGTGTAAACACATATTTTTAGAATATTCTTGTTTTTTTTTTTATTTAGTAAACAATTCATGCGTTTCTAAAAAAACAAAACAGAAATGTGTAAAACACTAACAACACCTCTGTGGTACTCGTACTTATGCTCGTTGTCTCTTCTTCTCTCTTCCCGTAAAACAAAAACAATGCTTTCTCGTCCTTTTCTTATTTTCATACTAACTTTCTTCCTCCAAACATAAACTTGGCGCTTTTTGCATAAAAAATATTTGCAAATTTCTAAATTAAAAACAAAAATGCTTTACATGTTCTCATTTAACCCTTGCGCCACCCACACTCTCCTGTCAATGTGAATGCCTTTAATGTTCGCTGTTGTTATTGAATGTTTTTTTTTTTAATTTATCACAAATTTTCAACACTAAAAATACATGTCAAAATTTGCATACTAACGAAAAATTTTAATTGTCAATTCCTTTTACCTCCATCTTGTGTACACGCTTAATCCCTTAATGCCCAAACTACACACCTAACACCTTTTCCGTACCCGTTTTTCAATTGCGCTCCCTCCGCTGCACACCTACTACCGCATTCCCTTTGTTCTTATTCTTTTATTTGCTCTTCAATTCCACCCGCAATCCCTTTTCTTGTTGGCTGCGCCTGTCATTCCCGCACTGCTCGCTCGTTTTGTTTGTGACAACCTATCCAAGAAGTTGCCTGCTAAATTAACCCTCACCGAGGATTCACGCATCCTAACAACAGCTGCCGCACCCTCTCCAACGCCATCACCCTCGCCCTCATCGGGTCCACCATCTGCGCGTAGTACGCGTGCTAGTAAATGGGGTCGCCTTCTGGGCAGTTCAAGTGTCGATTCGGCTAGCGATACGAGCGCCAAGGTAGCAGTCTCGAGAAGTTTGAGCGCCCGCGAAAGTCTGCGTGAGAGCACTGCCCAAGCGCGGCAGAGCAGTACTTCGAGTAGTAATGGTGGACAAGGCAATAAAGTAATTACAAAAACAAAAACAAGAAAACAAACAGCTTAAATAGATTTCGCAAGTATTAAATAAGACTAAAAATATTAAATTTTACTTTTTATGAAATTTTTGATTCCATGTTTTATTTCATTAATTTTTTCTTAAGTTTTTTCTTTCTTATTGGTTATTGGCATTTGGTTCCTAATTTCTTCTTAACAAGTTCTTTGGTTTTCTCAGAAAAATATTTTTACAATTTCTGAGCTTAAAAGCTCAATTAATCAGGCAAAGCAGAAAACTAGCAACGCTCGAAAGTTGGAAAATTACATTTAGAAATCTTTTACATTTTTTTAGATAGAATATTTGGTAAACAAAATTTTAGTTTTTTTTTCTAAAAAAAACTTAATGTTTTCTTAAAAAAAACTGTTTCAGCTTAGTTCTTAGCAAATTTTTATACACATATTGTTCTTTTAAATTTTAATCTACATATTCTGAAGCTCTTCAAGCTTTTAAGCACGCATACAATAAAAGCTATCTTTTGTCAACATTGAATCAAAAGCTCTGTTGTACAATCCAATTTCATAAAGGATTTTTGGTAGGGAACCTTTTTGGACGAATTTTTTAAACTCTCTGAAAGAGAACTTGAAAACTTAAATGAATATGGCGTCTGTGTTCGGACTTAGAAAGCAGTTTTACTAGAGAACGCTAAAAAAAGCTCGAAAATTAATTTAATGCCGTAGTCGACTATTTTATAACCACAGGTGCCTTACACTTTCTTTATACTCATTTACATGAATAATTACAGCGTAAAAGCTCTTTATTTCGCATAAGCGAGCTTCGATACCTCAACGGAGGTTAATTTCAAATAAAAGAGTGCCAAGTTACGATTAATGAAAGCTCATTAAGCCTACAATAAAGTTCACATACTCTGGAGTTAAGCTTTTATATGCAAAAGCTCTGGGAATGTATGCAAAGACTCTAAAACATAATTGGTACATTCCTTAACTGAGGAAAATCTTCTTCTGGCTAAAACTGTTGTAAAAAGAGTTTATAAATATTTCGCTATTTTAGTGGGTGGTATCTTTCCCGTTATTTGCCCTAACACCAAAGCCCCAAAACCCTTTAGTCTCTAACTACATTCACCAAAAAGCAAATCTCATATAGCGCTAGAATATCGGAAACCTACAAATACAGTTCCCAGAGTCCGAAAAAAACAAAACAAAACAAAACAAGCAACGACAACAATGACTTTCCTTTGCAGAGCGTCGAATCTTTAGACACCAGTATACTTAAAATAGAAACGAAGGAGCACACAGCAACGTCCGCGGTGACAGCAGCGACTGCGGCAGCGAAGCGCGTCAAGAGCCTAGAATCGCTGACCACGGCAAGCGGTCACAGCTCGTGGGTGGAGCGCAAATGGCGGCGCATACGCATACTGGAAGTTAGTAACCGCAGCAGACACACACTACTACACTAGTTAACAAAGAAAATATTTTTATTTTATATTTTTTGTAAGAATTATGATTTTGATTAGCGCGTAGTTATTCGCAGTTCTGAGCAGTCGAGTCGAAGAGTAGTGTCCGATCTGTGCTAAAAAATTCAAAAACAAGTTGCCACCTGCTATGCGATGCTGTGAATGTAGAGGGCTTGAGTGTTGCCACCCCTTGCGTATACGCGCATTGTGTCTTAGCTGCGAGATATTCGTTGACTGATTGATTGTTTGAATATTTGGCTTTTCGTTTGTTAGTTTGTTTGTTTGGTCACTGATATTTTGTAATTATGTAATTCTGGTATGTATTTATGGTATCTTTTTATTTATTTGAAATATATTTTGGTCGTTTTTTTCTCTTTGGTTGGCAACTGTTAGAGGATGCCCGTTTCAGTTGTTGTAACATTAGGTTTTAGTTTAAATTAAAGACGCGCTAGTTCGCACATAAAATCTAAATAAAGTAAACTTTTATTCAACTAAACCAATAATTAATAAAAAATATTTCTCCCTCTTTCACCCCCTCCAAATTATTGTCAACATATGCATGCTCACTATTCAACCTAACCAATCATAAATACCGCCACAACCACACAACTTCCATCACCTATGCAACCCTGGATCGTATTGTCGCTGCAACAACTAAATTTGCATTGGGTTTCGGCATACTTCGTACTGGCCGACGCACACGCGAACTGCTCGTTTTGTTCGCCCTCTCTATATCTGACTCTCTCACACACAACCGCACTTTAACTGTTCAACGCTCTGTCTTCACGCTCGTCGTGTTCGAATATCTAACTGTGTTTCGTTGAACACATCCACCACCCCACCGTCCACCCAACCAAATCACCCCTGCTTGCCTACTCGCCTGCCGGCCCGCATTTCTCTACCTATGCCACACCTTTACCTCCCTCTCATCAAACTTTCGCTCTTTCTCCTCTCTTTCACACTCAATTATGTGAATGAATTCAGGTTTTTCCTAAAGCTCCTAAACTGCAGGCCAGCCAAGCGGCGCTTGCGCGCCAAGACACCATTGACGAGGGTGGCGAAATCGATGCCTCCCCTCCGAGTCGCGACACGAGGCACGTCGGCGAAGGTGGCCCTGCAGCGGCAGCAGCAGCGGCTGCACTGGCCGCTAAGGAGCGCAATTTGGCATTGGAGCGCGAGCGTCAAATCGAGATGGCTTCATCCCGCGCCACCACATCCGACACCTACGACACGGGGCTGCGCGAACAACCACCGACGATGGCGCAGCGAGATTTGGTCGCAACTATGCTGGACCTGAAGGTGGACGTGCGCCTGGAGATGCAGCGCATGCAGCAGCGCATAGGACGGATCGAGGACATGCTAGGTGAGTTGATGAAACGTTTGCCGACGCAGGAGTCTTCGGGTCAGACAACGCCAGGCGACGAGCTCGGCCCGGGCGGCGGCGGCGGCGGTAGTGGAGGCGCGGGTGGCGGCGGCAGCACAGTAGGAGGCAGCAGCGGAGTAGGCGCTGGAGGTGGCGCGTTACCTGCCCGCATCGGGGTCGTCGATGGCGGCGGAAGCGGCGGCACACACTCCACGGCGGTCACGCCGGCTGCAGACACTGTGATAACCATTTCAACGATGCCGCCCACGCCACCCATTAGCACAAGCGCGGCAGGTGTTGGTGGCGGTGGTGGCAGCGCAGGAGGCGTTGGTGTGCCTACAACTGCGACGTCCGCGGCTTTGGCAATGGCGGCGGTAGGCACAGGCTCCACGCCCATTCCACAGACCCTCAGTTTACTCAGTCCAGCACAGATGGGGAGCGCGACGGCGGCGTCGACATCCGGCGGCAACGGACTCGGACCGCTGATGCTGAAGAAACGGCGTTCGAAGAGCAGGAAGGCACCAGCGCCTCCCAAGCAGCCATCACATGTGCAGAGTCCAGAACAGCAGCGTTTGCTGGAGGAGGAGCCGATTGTAGCGACAACGACAACGATGGTGGCAGCGGCGACGGCGGCAACAACAACAGCGGCACCTCCTGTTACAACACCAACAACGGCCACATCGAGCAGCGCGGCTACTTCACCCACAACTGCGGGACCGTCTTCGATAGGCGGTGGCGGTAACACCAGCGGGACGTCCAGCGGCAGCGGCAGTGGCGGCGGTGGTGGGCGCAACAAACGCGAGTTTCTCTAGCCCAAAATACTGGTGCGCCATCAATCGGACACGGGCAGCAGCTTCGAACAATAATACGAGAGAGGAGCGAGGAAGCAGACTGCAGCAAACGATGGCGTACAAGAAGGCGGCGGGTTGGGCAGCGGAAAGTGTTACGAGTTCATTTGCCGTTGTTGCTTCTTATTATCAGGTTAAGTTAATAGTTCTAAGTGGATAAGAAATTTTTTGGCGGTAATATTTTTTTTTATTTGAAGCTTTCGAAAGCTTGAATTTCAACAGAAAAAATTTAAACCCATGCTCTATGCCACGGGAGCATATTTCAAGCGACAAGCAGAGCAAATATTTGTGATAACCAACCAGATATTATGACTATGTAAACATTATTAGAATTACCAAAAACTAAAAAACAAAAGTGTCAATGAGAGGTCACACCAAAAACAAAACCACTTGCAATGCCGCTTAGAAAATTTGTAAATTTCATTGTAAATATATACTACAAAGCGAGGAAAAGCTGCTCGCCCATTAAAGCTGTGTAGATATATAATATTCGTAGATAGTTAAGTACTTGTCTGTATGTGTGCGTGCGGAGGTCGAACCAAAGGCGCGCAAATACCCCTAGTACACAGCAAACCGACAACGTGACCTACGACTAAGTTATAGTTGAATAACAAACATATAATATAGATGTCAATAAGTACTTAGCTTGCTGAATACCTTAGCCTTTTGGAGGAATTGAAACCCACTGATTTGCGACCCACAGATTTTCGATGATTTACCAAGAATAGAGAGCGCACGCTGCTATAGTTTAAGAAATTTATAAAAAAATGCAGGCTTTTTAAAATTAATTGACTCAATCATCCAGTAGAAAATATACCCAGACACCACTTTCAGACCAAAATATTTTTATTGAATATAATTTGCATCGGGAGCAACAGTTATTAAAACCCTGAGTCAGGATTACTTTCCTGAATTGAATAGTCGATATTCGCAGATTTCTATACTCATATCCAACACTCGACTAAGTCTCTTAACCTAGAAGAATGCATTTTTTTACTGCTTAATACTTCAACAGAATATTTCTTAGCTCATTTGAGAATTCCCTGATGACATTACGCTCGGTTGCTATAGCATTTTATATAGCATATTTTTGGGCGCAGGATTAACTCAATTAGCAATTGAGCCATGCTGAGTGAGCGATCATCTCGCTCAAACGCAAAAATTTTTTATAATTGCGTTGACATCAAATACACACACGCCACACATTCTCTTATGGAACACGCATTTGTGTTTTAAAAACTAAGATATGGCTACTACGGACAACACCGACAGCCCAATATGGATGACGATACACAGTCTAGCTCGCCTGAAGTTGAGTAGACTAGGAAGGTGAATTTAAAGATCAGATATACTGAAGATGGATCAGCCACATTCTCTGTACCGCAACAATTTTCACAGATTAATTAAAAATAAAGCAACTTTACCTCACGTTCCTCATTCCGGTTATAGAAATTTCTTATTCAAGTATTAGGCTAAAGTAAAGTATGTTAAAGTGCTTGGGTTTCCATACACAAATCCATCCATCCGTCTCCATGGCCTCGGTTCTCGCTATTAAATTAATATCGGACTCCAAAATTACTCAAATAGATCAAAACTAAAAGCATTTTCTTAGGCCTTTAAGGTAGTATTTTAAAAATTTCGTTAATATTTCCTTCATCCATTGTACGTGTCTGCAATTCTCCACAGGCTCATAAAGTATTTTACTTAATGGTGTGCTCGTTGAAGCTCTTAAGCGCAAATATTGTAAATAGGAGGAACTCTCCGAAGTCCCAACTAGCTCTCTACCCGTCCATCAATCGATTTTCGTTTCTCCTAAACCCAAACATCTAGTCAGAACTTATAACTGAGAACAAAAACCAATTTCAATGCACCATTCGACTCCCCCCCCCCCCCCCCCCCCCC